ACCAAATTTGGCTACCCAAAACCAAAATTAACAACTTTTTCAGATAGCAATGCAGTTGGGGTTTTTTTTTACTGAAAATGTGCTCTACTTCTAAGATATCAGAACTATTGTATGTTGCAATGGAAAAATGGTGATATAAACAGCAACCCAGACAGCTGTAGGTAAAACATAAACATGCACATTAAGAGGATGTTAGGCTTGATTTTCAGACTGGAGCTAAATTGACTTCATTTTTTTTTGTCTTCAGGTTCAAAGACACAAATAAAAATGGCTATAATTTATGTCATTCAGACACAGAGCTTTTGGACTGTACAACACACCTGGGTTAACTGATCCTCAGTTATTTACAGTGGTTAATGCTAGGTAGGAAGACAAAGGAAGACATGCTTTTTAAAAAGGAAATTTTTGTATACTGCACTGCTGAAATCTTTTCCTGAACTGCAGAAACCTCACATGATACTTTGTGATGAAACATACTCTGTGATGAAGTTTCAAAACATCTGAAAGAAGTGCCTGGCTATACTTTTAAGTATTTTTTTTCCAATACAATTTATTACATAAATAAATTTTACATTAGTGATACATGTGCTTCAGCACTTAGGATATATTTTCTTACTCCTGATTTATGAAAATATAAAGACCTCCCAAAATAAAAACACAACTAATTTAAGCTCTTGCTGGTCTGAATATCAGGTTTCATCTAGTTTAGATGTTCTTTTGAGGATAGTGACACCAAGTGGCAGAAGTTACCTCTACTCCCTCATTCGTAGGGCTGTTCTAAATCCTAGACAGGAAACTATGTATCTTTCCAAATATAGGTGAGTGCAGAAAATAGTAACAAATATGCTGTGGCCCTTCACTTCTGTTTTGGTATGTATAATGCAGGCATCCTTAACACACACAGTTGATGAAAAGTCAAATTAGACAAACACAGGTCTGTTTCTTAGCTTTGACACAGCTGACAGCAACCATTCACAAGGAAAAATTAATTCAAGGGAAATATTTTTATTAATTCAGATATTCTCTCTAACTTTATTCCCACAGAACCTTTTACTGGTGTGGTGGTGTGTTATATGTTCGGTGGGTGCTGTGGACCGCTTCACAAAATTATTTGTGAATTTGTAAATAACAACATTATTTATTCTTTATCTCTGTAAAATTATAGCTTTCTTCCTCCCCTTTCCTCCTATTCACTGATTACATCAACACATGTCTTTTCATTGTTACTTCTGGGCTCTGAAGAACATCTAAATATTTGTTGGGGTACTAGCAACCCCACATTAATTCGTACGAACCTGGTACTGAATATAGTTTGACTGCTGTAAGGCGTGCATAAACTTTGATGAGGACCCAAACACTTGTCCTTTTCTAGTTTTTCCTCCCATTGCTTTTCCATTGTCTGGCTCTCAAACAATAAAAGATTCCAGAACTGCGTTATGGTCTATGGCTCAGCACAGCAAAGAAATTCTGAATCACCAATATTCAGATCCCTGATGTCAAAGCTACATTGAAAAGAAAGCAAGAAAGAAGCTACAGAACCCTTTCTTCCCCCCACTCAGCCCTCAAAGGTGCTGTGTTACAATGCCTATTTTTCTTTGGCATGCAAAGTTGAACAAGGATCCTGTGTGGGCCTATAAAGTTTTTTCCTTAAGTTACCCAGAAGTGAGCCTCTGAAGAGTAATGCCAGATATTCTCTCCTCAGAAAATCAGAGCATATATCCCCTTGTTCTGTAGTCTAGCACCTATTCACTCAGGGAGCTCAGAACCAAATTGGAAACCCATGCTGAATTTGCATACAGCAACATAAAATATGCTACACGTGGTCCAGAATTGAAAACAGCTTGGAAAAGAGTTTTGGCAGGAGTTGGAGGAAATGTCTATTGCATAATGTCCTGATAAAAGGAATATATTAACAACAAACCTTTCATTGTGCGGGATTCAAAGTATGTTTTAAAAGAATGGACTGACCCCCAAACCACTGTATACACTGAGCAGCACATTAGTCCAGGAGTTTGCTTAACTTCAATGACACTATCCATGGAAAGAATTACAGGGAACCTTTGCTATTTGCAGGTTCAGCTTTCGTGGTTTCAAATATTCGTGAATGCTGAACCCACATCTTAAATACACTTACAGGAACTCCTCGGGAGCTCCGCACTTGCTGCTGCCGGGCTCTCGCCATTGCCAGCGCAGCTGTGCCCCGCCACAGCTGCTGAGGGCACTGCATTCATGAACGCAGTGCTATATTCGTGGATTTTGACATTCATCGGGATCTCCAGAACGTATCTCCCACAAATGGGGTCACCTGTACTCAATTCAGTTAATGGTATCAGAGTTAGCCCCATAAGGAGATAAATGTAGGATTACTTCATTCATCACCAAAATGCAACTGCTCAATAGTATCCAGCAACGCTATGTAAGTTAGGGCATGCCACAAACTGTATTTAACTGAAAATGTAGGTACCAGAATAACACTAATTCTCAAAAGAAAGGTGATGTGGTCATGGCTTTTTTACCATATCTGGATGCTTGCCCATTCATCACAGCTGTCGTAGGATTACATGTTACTTATGGAGGCAACGATAACATTTCTTTCAGCACCAAGGGGCACCTATACACATGATGGGTGCTCCAACGCGTGCTGATTAGCACGGGACGCTGAATACATGTGATGCTGCAGGCGATTTAATTAGAGCGGCTCTCAGAGCTCTAATTAACGTACCCTCCTGCTCCCCAACCAGGAGCACATGTGTTCACCTGCCAGTACTGATTCAGTCTAATCCTTATCCTGAGAGAGCACATTGTGACATAGCTGCAGGTCACAAAGAATATAAACTATGATCACTTCTTTTTCTGTATAACCAGTAATTAAAATCCTACCAATATACATCAAGTAAAATAAAAGGTAATTTGACTTAAAAGGAACATGCTAAGTGTTTAGAAACAAAATCCTTAAATGCTTGCATTCTCAAAGCCCACAGCCTTCTAGTTCTGTGAGCTCATTTCTGTCATAAATCATTCATTAGAAAGGACATTATGTAAAAAAAGAGTAAAGCAAACTTTATGGACACATGACCTTTGCAAAGCTATTTATGGCTTCTCTGAATTATCTCAGCATTAGGTTTAGCTTCTATTAGATGTTACTACTGTAACAAATAAGATGAGACACATTCTTGGAATCTTCATTCTTAAAATCCAGGTATTATTATAACAACAACAACAACAAGAACTAAACACACAGACACACATACACATGCGCACACAGTTATAGACCAAAATGCAATGCAACCCAAGACAAATAAAATCTGGTGCCTAAACACGTTCCCATTTAATTTTTTTCTGTTAAAATGCCACTGTCAGATACACAGACTGGAAGGAGCCATTAAAAATCTACTTGAGGTTATAAGGCTTGTTTTCACTAGGAGTAAGAAAAAAAAACTGGGTTCACATGACTTGTCAGCTTAACAGGAGGTAAAATCCTAATGCATTCAAGGCTATTTGTAGTTTTAACACAAGTTAAGGTGAGATAAAACTTTTAACTAACTTGTGTAAAAAATATGAAGTATCATGTCTTTACTAGAAATGTATCTTGTTAGAATCACCATGAGTTACCTAAGATGAGCTAAGAACACCTCTTTTTATCCTACTGCCCCATAACACCCATTTTTCAGACCTACAACCTGGTCTGTTCAGGTATTTTCTGATGTATTTCTATCCTGTTTCAAGTACATGTATCAGGAAAGACTCGGCATACTGCTGAACAGATCAGCTACACTTACTTATTTTCTGAGGAACATTAACCAAGTAACTACAAGTTAATAGGACTATTTGTGTACTTGTATTTTAGCACATGCATAAATCTTTGTAGGATCAAGGCCAGAGAAAGTAACAGGGAATGCCAGCAGAGAAAGGTAAATACTGAAACAATACTAACACTGTACTTGAAGATGTATTGGTCTTGGAGAAGAAATAAAGGATTACACACCTGACCTGAAAACGTTCCAGCTATTGAGTACAAAGGGCACATTCCTTCATCTCTGATTTCAAGATTCATTTGTGCCTTACGTTATATTACTGTGATCTTACAAGATAGTGTTACTCCTTTGGGTAAGATTTAAGGCACTTTGCCAATTCTTTGTAATGAGATCACAGGTTTTATTACCCTGTCCCTTAGCACTCTACCTGCCTTTTCTGTCTCTGTCCCCTTGACTGTATAATTCTCCACAGACTTGCTAAATTGAATTTTTTTCACCTCACATTCCCCTTGCTTCTCCCACACTTGTTCTATCCATCTCTCTTGTCTTGGCCTCCTTTCAATGACTTTTCAGGTCTGGGAGCTGTTCCGTTATTGTCCTTCTTCCCTCATCAGACATTTTCTTCCCAGCACTTCACTCTGCTGCTGATTTTCACCTTTAAGCTTAGCATCCCTTTTCTACTAACTTCCCTTTTCTGAACACAGTGACCTGGAAGCTTAAGCTCAGGTTTCAGTGTCCTCAGATGCTACCAATAAGTTCCTCTAAAAAGTTTTGAAAAGTCCTCAAGCAATCCCTGTCCCCCCTCCCTGATCATTATAATTATCAAGAAGTTAAAGTCTAGGCTCTCCAAAGAGCTTGCTGCAAGCATCCAGCAATGGGAGGGTCTACTATTTTTAACACTTAAAAACCCCCCCAAGCAAATACTATGTTAAAAATGGCTGAGCATAGGAATGCAAAGGGATACAAATGAATCCATTTTTGCTCACAGTTTGTCATTAAGATATTTAGGTGATATGCCAGCTCCAGTGAAGTCAGTGGAACTTTTACTAAAAGGTGCTGGGCTGCATTTTATCTGGTTAGAAAAGTGCAAGTTATGTGCCCAATATGTATAGTTTGGCAGACCTGTGATGAACTTCACTATTGTTATTTCTTTTATGACAAGCAGCTAGAAAAGCAGTAATTTCTACTGACTTGAACTGCAAAGTCAAGGCAGCAGCAGCATCTATAGGCCATGTTAGTACTTACATCCATGTTCCTTTCATTTGCAGAACTAAATACATCCTCATCACCACAATCACTGTCCATCCTCAAATGTTCTTCCTTCTGCAACACAAACAAGCATCCAACACATCCATGGAAAAAAACAACACAAGAAACATCTGTTTCTACAATATGCTAAGCCTGTTCTAGTGGCACTGTGAGACCCTGCTCAGACCTTACTGCCTCCGGTGGCAAGAGGGTGATGGGGAGGGTCTGAGATCATGTCTTGTACCTGCCTTCAGAATGGCCCATAAAGAGGAACTGGTACCCTCTGGGGAGCAATATGCCTCATGAATTAGTGTGGCAGAGCACCTCTCCCCTGGGGCATAATAAGCAGCCATGCACGCTGCAAATGTGCTGCCACTGTGTGCTACTCCCTAACACACAGACCTTGTGCAAAGAGTACAGGCCACCCCAGGATGTAAAACAAACACATGCTACAGATACAAAGGATCATAATGGGTCAGAGTACACTGAAAACAAGACAAACACTCAAGCCCTTACTGGAGAAAAAAAGGCAAGAGAGTAATACAGCAGAATAGCTGACTCAAGGGAGACTGAAATACAGAACAGAAAATTTGTTGAACTTTCAAAAGTAGCAACAAGAAAGAATTGCATCTTTTATTGTATTTGTAAAATATGTATTTCATGGTCTGTTTATAGAGTTTCTGCCTTCTCCCAAATCCTTTTGTATTTATCAGGGCCACAGCCAGGCATGCAGGTCATGCAAGTAAAAATCTGGTCTGATATCTTGGGAGTTGGGTATTAATACCTTTAGGTTCCTTCGAGAAAAAAAACCCACAGATCAGAATGTCAATTTCTTTCCTCCCTAATCCCAGAAATGTACAGAATGAAAGGGGATGGCAAACATGACATGATGCTTAGTTCACACCAGACTAATTTCATTTTAGTCCTGAATGGATGTCATAGAACATCATGGTTTCCAGCAAGATTTCCAGCAAAAATAGGATGATCTTCTCTGGAGAAGCCCAGGACTGTAAAAGCAAAAATCCTGCAAATGAAACCTGAGGTATGTGAGGGGAAGAGCTTACAGGTCCCAGCAAGAGGTTTTTAGAAAGGTGGGAAAAAAGCAAGCAACACATTACATCCAGAGCAATATTATATGCAGCCAAGCTGAAGAAAAGGCAGTCCCATGTTTAAGATACTAGATTAGAAGCCAGAAAATGTGGTTCAACTTCCTGGCTTGCTGAAAACTTCCTGTTTGACACAGTGTGAGCTACAATCTCTCAGGACTTCCATTTTTCACTTTTAAGGCTAAAATAATTTCTTATTGAGGATAACAGCCCCTACTTGACTTAAATTCTGTCCCTTAAAAAGACCAGTTCAGAGGTGTCATTTACAAGGATTTCAAAAAGGGTGAGACCAGATATACAACAGAGTTTGGGTGACCAGCACATCCTGAGACATACTAAGTGTTGAGATCTTTCAAAAATCTGACCCTAACATTGGCTCTGAAACACTTTTGAAAGCTTAGATGTGCACTTCTAAAAATCTGACTCTCCAAGACTGTCCAGGATTAAGCTAATACCAACAATGTCATCAAGCATATATTTTCCAGTAAATAATCCAACATGCTTACAAACTTTCTGAGTGTATTGGTGTAGTCTTGGGAGGAATGAAGAAACATGAAACAAAGCATTCCTTTGCCAGGCTGATATCCTAGAGGGGTGAACTTTAATAGTACTTTATCACATTCATTTAGTGATGAGCACTGATACTAAGATTGCAAAACAGTTGTCCTTATAAATGTGTGTTTTTACATGTTCTCAGCTTTTTTTCTGGAAAATTCACCTTGTGGGCTGAAACTGTGCAGGTTTAGCCTCTGTGATCAGTAGCAAGTGTTTCTAGAAAAGCATCTTCAGCAATTTTTGAGATCTGCAAGGCATGGACAAAATATTCCCTCTAAAATTTTCCCTTTCAAAACATTGCTCCTGCATATCCTTCACTTACTTCTCTAAAAACGTAGAAATTTGACAATAAGGGTAAAGTTAAGCCAAATCTTGACTACAGTTAAGCCAATAGCAAAACTGTCTTTAAGGCCAGGATTTCAATGTTGGTACGTAAAAGAGACCTGCACTGGACAACAGAGCTAAACATCTGCAATATTGCCAATTTTTGCAATGTGACTGTAAGTCTTGGGTATTTGATATCTTTCTTAACATTCCAGGATTGATGGGATTCAGTATAAATCTCAAAATAAATAAATAAAAAATAGAAAGCCAGCTCCCATGGTTGTGGAGAAAGTTTAAAATCATGACAAAACTTAATCTGACGAACTCAGACGTGAAAATCAAAACAGTGAGCCCCAAGTTTACTATTTTTTCCTCAAGATTTTTAAGACATTCTTATAATTTTTGAAGGCATAGGACTTGCACTGCTGCAATTGCAGATATTACTGAACTTAGGTATTACTAAACTTACAATCAAAAATTGAAGATCATGTTCACAAAGCAGAAACGTTAAGTATTTGTTTTATATACAGAGATGTCACTTTTATTATATATAGGGATACTTCGTACATTATGGATTTCTTCATAAATGCACACATAGTAGCGTATGTTGTTAATGAGAAGGGAAGTGCCTTATTTACAAATGTTTGCCCTTATTAATGCCTACTGAACTCAAATGCTTGACATTTAAAAAACAAAGTCTTTTGTTAGCTGTTCAATACACTCAACTCCTTCAATTAAGAGCTGAAAGACATGCAGTCAACATGGAAATGTTCAAGATGCATGTGCCTAAAGTAGTTTATTCTTCTCCTACTGAACAAACCTTCAAAATAAGACACACAGAAGGGACTGAAAAGGAAGCTAGAAAGAAAACAACTTATTGAGCACAATATAAACACTTACCTTGCTGCTTCTTTTATTAACTTTGAAAAAACCCAGAAATCCTCTTTTTTCTTTTTCTATTGCATCACTGCTTACTGAAGCATTTCGACTTGTTTCTGAAACAGTGATAATGGAAAAATATTTATGCTCCTTAAAGTAAAGCGGGAGAAAGTCAGATTTTAAAACGAACCTGGATTAACTCTGTAGTCCTTAAAAAACAACTCGTGTGTGTACAGCCAGTGATGAGGGAAATAACGGAATAAAGTGCCAGATCCTGCATCCTCACTTTCATAGATTCTTAGCCAGTCAGGGTCTGGCCCACTGCTCTAGGAAGTCAGTAGGAATCTGTCCTTAGACTGGGTTTCAGATCAAACCTTACTCAAATGTGATGGTGGTTACATCTGCAGGGTAAATCTACCATACATCACAGTAATGCACTTAAGCACACTGAGTTGCTTCAGGCAGTAGGCTCTGAAACAGGAAGTAAGGTAGTCATGTCTCTGTGTCCATAAGAGTAGGGTAAGTAGCTCGGGAGCAGGCTAACTGGCCCTGGCACCTAGTAATGCTACCCAGTTTACCCAGGCCAGGAGTATGTGCTTGAGGGTGCTGTTGCAAGGGTCAGGAATTTATAAATAACGTTCTTACAGGCGTAGTGTTGTAAGATGGATATCCACATTGGTTACTTAAGCACTATAGGCCCTGGCACATATTGCGTTTATTGTGCAATTAACTGTACCATACTTTTAGACTGGCTACACATGCAAAGCAATTATTGCAGAATAAAAAGGCCACCCAGCCACAAATATGCTGCTTCAAAAAATGTAAACATTTTTATAACTGGTTTCTATCAAGTTTTAATTTGAATGTGTGGCATGTCACTACTGAAGCGGCTTAGGCCCCTGGCACATGCTTCATTTACTATGTAATTAACTGGTTGATATGCAGTAATTCTGGAGAGGCTACACGTGCAAAGTAATTATTGAATGATAAAAATACATCTTCAAAAGTGACCAAGCAGCCATAAAGAGGTTGTTTTAAAAATGTAGAAAAATGTTGTAGTTGGTTTCTAACAAGCTTTTATTTGAATATGTGGCATGTCCCAGGTCCTTCCTGGGTCCTCCAGCATCCCTCCCCTACCTTATCCCACACATCTATCTGAAACAGCAGCACAGGCTGTGAAAAGGCTTCTGTCCCCAGATGTGGAGCAGGGCTCTAGGGAATCCTTCTCCCTGCATTGGGCAAAGGGATGGGGGGATGGGGAGGGAAATTATATCTTCTGCATAGAGCCAAGTGCACAGGCAAACTCCTTCCCTGCGTAGAGCATGCACAGGGGTTCCCTTCCTCTTCTCATGCTGAGCAAAATCCAGGGTGATGGAGGAAACTCTTGTCCCTGCTCTGCACAGGGGAAGGGGTTTCTTTTATGTGTTGCTCTGTGTTGTAGGGTTAATATCCCCTTCATCCTATGCTATCCTATTCCATATATTCAACAATCTGTCATTCTGGGTCCTGCTATCCTATTCCATATATTCAACAATCTGTCATTCTGGATCCTGGCAGCCATGGGGTGCTGCTGCAATGTCCCAGCCCTGGGGTGGGGTGCGGGGTCCCTCTGCAGTTGGGAAGTTCTCAGCTCAGGGGGCTCCCAGGCACGGGGCCTTGCTTTTTGCCTTGTAGCATGGCAAGAGACACAACTTTGTGGATTGTGCATTAGATCTCATCATGCCTTTACCACACATGTAGAGGGCTACTTAGATACATCAGCCTAAACTGGGTAAAAGACAGGACATCCCAAAATGTACTCATAACCACTGAACTGTTCTGCTATTAGCTTGGATTCTGCTTTATATGAGCACTAGCCAAAAAGGAAGGCCATAATTCTTCTATAGGGGATCTGAGTTAAATCTGCAGTTTGCATAAATATAACCGCCCAGCACTGACTGAGGGCTGTTCCCCCACCCCTCCACCATTTGCTCTTCCTGAATAATGGCCTGAATCAATGCCAAATTACTTTAATCAAGGCCTGAACATGGTGCTCTGGTACACGGTAACACCCTGGACGTCACACAGAAGTTTTAACAAACTGAGAAAAGTCACCACCAGTAAGGCCCATATTTGCTTCATAATAGAAAATATACCCCAAATGACCTAAAATTCCTGCTTTAACCATAAAATAGCAACATATTTCACAAAACAGCCCCAAGATATTTCTTGTAAGTAATGCTGTGTATCCCACAAAGCATATCATTGTCACGCACAAAAGATTGCTTCTTCACATGGACAGGAGTTAGAAAGTGTTAAGCAGATAAAGCAGATCCAAGCATGAGAGAAGAGTAAATATGACAGACAATCAGAAGAAAGCAGAAACCCACACCATCCTAGATGAAGCAAAAATGCCCTTCTACTGTTACAAAACTAACAGCAATAAACTAACCAGGTCTCTTCCCTATATGGACTATAAAGCATGGCCTGCATTTGCAAGTCTGAAATGGAAATCTCTGTGCTTAGGGATAGATGGTGGCTGGACCTGTACATTCTTCAGAATTGAGTTCTTGATATTTAAGAGGAATAACCCAAGGTCAACATGAGTTAGTGGGAACTGTTTGCAACCTGTGGGAGCTTTTGACCCCCAACGTGTAAAGGAAATATCCAACTACTGAGAAACAACAGATGCACATGTATAAATACAAAGAAGCATCATCTACAGGCTTGATTTTAGGTTCAGATTCATATGGGCCAATCTCTGGATCAGTGAGGAACCCTCTTGACATCAGTGGAACTGCACATGGATGCAGGGGTTCTCACTTGTGGGTCAGCTTGCTGAAGTATGTAATTTCATGGGTGAGTTAACAGACTGCCAACATTTTTAGGATAAAACTCTATAGAAAGTTGCATTGAGCCAAGATAATGATCTCACAGACCAACAATTTGGGGAAAAAAATTCTTCCCAAGTGAATGTGGTAAATCTTGACTCTGACTAAATGGCAAGTATAAATGAGGAAAGAAGATGCTGAAGTCAAGTGGATAAATAAAACTATTGAAATCAACAGTTTCATAGTGACTTCAGTGTGGCCATAATTTTACTCAGGGCCACAATGTCAATCACAGAGGAGAGCGTTCTAACTATTCTAATTTCTGTACTAAATTGGGTAGGGGAGGGAGAGGGAGGGGGACAGATCCTGATCCATCACTTGCCATAGAACACTGAGGGCCAATTAGCTTTACTGGCAAAATGAGTCACACACTACACACATTTGTGTATGCCAGATAGCAGCCAACGGGCATGCCAGATGTTGGCTGCCATCATCCTTCACCTTTAGCGGTGGCAGTTTAGGGTGTTGTCTTGTGTTATGTCAGCATTGACAGTAATTTTACTAAGAGGTTGGATTAGGAATTTTTATGGCCTAGTTTGGATAAGAATGATCCTGCTTCAGGCATGGGGTTGGACTTGATGACCTATGGAAGTCCTTTCCAGCCCTAGAGGAACATGCGATTGAACCACTGTACACTTTGGTGCCCACTGGCATGCATACATTTTTTACAAGTTTAGGAATCAATGTGTCAAGGTGTGACCACGAAAGGTTATTTGTGTGCAGGGCTTTTCCGCTGTGTACTCTTTTCTAAAGCAAAAGCATCCAACTGAAAAGCCCACAATCTGAGAAAAAAACAGTATGATGGGAAGGGTAGTGGCAAATGCATTAACTGATGCATTTTATGAATGAAATTTTGGACAAATATATCAGGGTTTTCTTTTTAAGCCTTCCTGACAGACACTGGGTGTTGGCTGTAGCCAAGGCTAGAGATTTTGACTGGAGTGTGGCAGTGCTCCTCCTGAGACTTAAAGTTGGAGGTTAGAGGGTCTTCCCTCTCCCCTCAGAGTCAGACTGATTACCATACTTAGGGTCAAGAAGAAATTTTGCCTCATGGTCAGACTGGTATGGACTGTAGGGGCCTTCCTCTGTGATGGGGGTGTGTGTAACCCCTACCTGGGATCTCTTAAATATATATTAACAACCTTTTACAAAAGCAGGATGTTGGCTGCCATCATCCTTCACCTTTACCTGTGGCAGGTTAGGGTGTTGTCTTGTGTTATGTCAGAGTTGACAGTAATTTTACTAAGAGGTTGGATTAGGAATTTTTATGGCCTAGTTTGGATAAGAATGATCCTGCTTCAGGCATGGGGTTGGACTTGATGACCTATGGAAGTCCCTTCCAGCCCTACTTCTCTATGATTTCTCACAGAAGTTTTTACTCCACTCAAAAATTTGCAAGTATGTTACTTTGTGTTTTTCCACTAACACAATGACCCCAATACATAATAACAGATACAAAAAGGACATTTGAGGCAGTAAACACATACATTTTCCATTTACCTGCCAAAGTAGCACAATTGCAACCAGAACAAGTGCAGTGGTCATGCTTAATATTCAACATTTATCCACATTTATCCCATGCACCCTGTTTTTTTTTAATTTATTAATAAGTATGGTAGAGATTCCTAATCAGCTGAATATCTCAGGGCCCATCTTTGCTTATCTGTGAATTTCAAATCCACGAGACAGATCTGAATGTCCAACTTTCAGAAAAGCAAACAGTTATGGTCATGGAAATTTATGTAGGGTATGGACAGACGTAACACTTAGAACATTCTAAATACACTTTCAAACCCAAGAGTCTAAAAGTGTATGCCACTTTAGACTGGTTTAAACTTCCTGGAACATTTCAAAAGCGCACCAGGAAAATCAAGTACTATTTTGAGCCAGTCCTCCTTGAACTAGTTCAGTGTTATGTACAGACACAGAGCATTCTGTGCTTAGTATTGTCAGTCCTCCAGGCATCCCACAATGCAGTGTATGTCACTCCCCCCCTCCCCCCAACCCATCCAGGACAATGGGGCTGCTCTGGGATGCAACCAAGACTCTACTGCTCAAAGTTTTATTGCCAACAGAGACCAAAGACAGGGAGGGCAGATCACCCAGCCCCCTGGGAACCACAAGCATGGGTACAACGAGCCCCTCTCACCCCTCCCCAATCCCTGGCAACCCCTCCACTCCAACTACCGCCTCAATCCGGGTCTTCCTCCCTGTAGGGGCATCCTGGGGAAACTCTGAGCACTGACGCTTGGAAGGCATGATGGTCTGTGTACTCTACCAACTCCTGGAGGCATTTTGGCAGCACTGCAATCCTTAAAAGGTGAAGTTTTACTTGGAACCCTTAGCAGTGTTCATGTGGACACTTCGGTCCAGGGACATCTATGAACCAATTCCCAATCAGTGACGTTTTTGGAACAGTTTAAGTGTTATGTCTGTCTGCACCCTTATTGTCCATATACCATTAGGCAATCGTGTTAATGATATGTTGACATATTAATAGCAGTTGTTCTATTTTTGCTTTGACTAGAGACATGGGCATGTGACATTGTCAGTCTGCAAGGTAAATAAAACAATCTAGGATACAACACAGGGAATTAAACCAGCTCTTTTTTCTGCAGTGTTTCATGCCAGAATCTTAAAAATCTAGCTATCATAGCCATGCTAAAGACAACCTGGAGGGGAGACTGATTTTTCCCAAACATGGTTGTACAGTACCTCTATAGTTCAGAGAAGGTTCAGACTGAGTTTTTGATGGAGGGGCTGAAAAAGGAAAGCGTTGAAAGGACAAGAAAAAACACATTAGAGGTCAGACAAATCACCTGGTAAACCACAGATATGATTCATTAGTCTTAGTATATGCCTTCACAAGCACTGTTAAGAATGGCTTTTTCTGAAACTGGACATGCAAGGCTGCTGTTTGGAGCTGCAGAACACTTATCTGAGGAAAGAGCTTTGTTTTCATTCCTGACCTTTACAGAGGCTGCTTCAGTTGCTAAAAGAAAAAATGTAAGTAGGTGGCAGCAGAGTTTATCTTTTAACAAGTCTTTTAACTTTGAATGAAGTGTTCATGTCTTGGGCAAAGGAAGGTGCCAATCAGTCAGCTCATCTAAAATCAGCTCTTACTTACAGCATGTGTTCTTCAGCACATGCAATGACATAAGTAGGTTTTTTTAGGGGATCCCTCCCAAATAAAAAGGTGAACAGGAGGCCAACTTCTCCTTATCATTAACAACGCAAGTGCCCATTCTGCAGCCCAGATAAGCAGGTGACTGCCACTGATATCCCTGGAAACCTCTCCCTAGGAATGCCATCAAAATCTTGTGAGAAAAAATTATGTTCAAAAGACTGCACTAGATAAATTTTATTTAAATTATTACTTCTTATTTCTCTGGTTCTATGCAAACACAGGCAGACATAATAAAACATACGAGGAACATATGAGTGCCCCAGAAGAACATGTGGGCCCAGAAAATATGTTACTCTGATAAAAGGGATAATGAGATGATACAAAGAATTTTTCAGTCACTTGGTGCAATGGATTTCATATTCTGCAATGTACTAGTCAGCAACAGCATCTGCTGTTTATTAGAATCTTGCTTAATGGAATCAGCTACATATCAGAATTAAAACCAAGAGCCATAAGTCCAGGCATTTTCGGCTATTTACTAGCATACCATTCAATGGAATCCGCCGCTATCTGAAAGTGCACTCTACACCTAACAAGCTTTTTCATTACTCAATCAAGTACTCTAATCAAGTCCACGTGTGTGCATGTTCTTTGCATAGCTAGGTTGCTATGTAACAGCTGGTGACAACTGAGCATGCATGATCATAACATTTGTATGAGCTTCTTAGTTTACTTTCTTTACTTTGCTGGCGCTTATTAGAATCTCTGGTTATTAAAATAAAAATGATCTGTCGGATGTGACTAATAAATGATGGACATTGTACTGATCTTGAAATTGAATCTGCTACTGTAGACACCTGCACTTATGTTGACTTCAACAGGACTCTTCCTATATAAAAAAATTATAGTGCTCACCAGGACCTACTGGTACATACTACTAATCACACTGTCATTTTTCTTGTTCAAATATTCAAATTTAAAGGAAAAAAATGCTTTCAGAAAGCCAAAACTAATTATCTAGCAAGATATCACTGAGGCATACTATGGCTTGATAGAGAACTCTCTGCAAACACAATGCATAACTCCGGAGTGGTTAATTTAATTAAATATATAAAAATGAAAACCCGCATTTGAGTTGTGGCAGTAAGTAGCACTGTATTTTGTGGATCTCTTTTGAGACTCTCACCAACTCGAAGTGAAAGAAGACATTTCGTTTAATTTAAGGTGTAAACACATTGAAATTTAGATTATACCAAAATAAAACTGTCATTCAGAGGGATTTGAAAGAAGAGACAAAGCACCAACATAAATAAATTACGGTATAAATAAAAGATAACCCTGCCTAAGGCCATATACAGTGGAGGAATAAATAACAAAGTCAGTGCCCCTAGAAGAGCTTCTGATTGTGACAAACCGCAGGAAGCCATTTTTAATAAAGATCACTTTCTGACAGCAAAAGGAGTCACGCTTATCAACATCAGCTTTGAATTTTTAAAGCATGTTTAATATTTATGCTATCTGAATCAACAAGCAGTCTGATTAAATTTGAGTCCAGGTAGGCGTCATTAGAATAAAAATGGGAAAAAAAGACAATTCACAAATGAACAACATTTTAAAGACAAATACCTCCTTAGGTCCTCTTCACTATTAGTAAATAGCTTTGTTCATAGGAAGAACTGCATCTGCATTTATCTGCAATTGTTTCTCATAATCTCTAGTATATTTCTGCTCTTCCCACTTCTACCGGCTGCCATGACTTTTTCCTATGTCTCACAGTACAGGTGAGAGAACAGCTCTCTCTGGACACAGTCCCAGGGTATGTGCACCCCCTGTTTATAGCAAAGCTGGGAGGCAGCAAGGCTCCTCCTTCACATCTTTAGAGCAGGCCAATCACCTCCTTGACAGCTGGTGGCCTCCACTGGCAGGCTGCCCAGGAACACACACTATTTATGAGCTAGGGACTCCTGGGTGACAGCTGAGTGCACTGTTGTCACTGCTGCTGCAACTGGCTGTGCTTATACAACCCAAGTAGCTCTATAAAGCTGAAATGGATGCAATCCTATTTAAATAATAAATCAGCGATGATGGTGTTAATACCGATCAGGCCGCAGGTGTGACTCTGGGTTTATCACTAAGTGACAATAGGTGGTATTAATCTTGACTCACCTCTTTTCCTATCCCAGGCATATAGTTCCTTTATCCCCAGCTCATCCAAGGACTTGGTAAGCTCCAGCTCTTCCCCAGTGATGTTGTCCCTCAGGAGGACAACATGCTCCTGGCTGACTTCGCACTTTTCACAAATGGCAGGGATGATGTTATGCAGAGGCACCTCAGGACTAACGCGAACCACTGCCTTTTGTGTCTTGAGGTAATTCACCACCAGCCTTACTGATTTCTGAGACAGAAAAGGGAAAAAACACTGTCAGTCTCTAGATTCAGGTCCCCACAGTGATGCTTCCACCATTTAAATAACACAGAAGAGATAGATACTTGTTTTCCTTCATCTTTCAAATGCAAATCTAGTGATTCACATGGGGAAAGTTACTCTTGGGCAAAAAGTTTAAACACCTAATCTTGTTCACTGGGGAGTGAGTCATAAGGGCAATTTAGCCAGAGAGCAAAATCAGACACAGTCATGCACTAGAAATCCTATCTTAAGTATGAACTAATTACTTTCACAGCAAAGTAAAGCACCTTCAGAAAGAGTTTAAAGTTAATCACATGGAAGTCCAGAAAACTCTTCCAAAACCAAATGCTGGGAAACCATATTTCTGTTTAAGGAATAAGGATCTCTGAATTCATATAACTGAAAGATAGAAGCAGTGTGATCCATGATCTGAATCACTGTGTAACCCCTGTATGCTGAGCCACATGTACAAAGGAATCACCAAATTGGTGGAATATTGCCAACTAAGGATTCCTTGAACTGGGAACTGCAGCTCCTATATCACCTCTGCTCACAAAAGCCAGCACACTGGATGTGGCCAAGAGAAATAAAAGCCCAGTGCATTTTAACAATGTTATTTTTCAAGATACATATGTACCTTCCTTGATGATATTTAAGTGTAGTTAGAAATCCTGAGACATATTCGTATACTGTGCATTAAGAATTTTATCTGACTTTACCATTACATGATAATGTTAGAGATTGGATTGATTTACCACTCTAGCTTAACCAGTTTAGTTGATGACTATTCAAACTGTATAAAAAGAAAATTTGAGCCTCTCCCCTTCAGGCTTGAAGATAAGAAAAGTGGAACAAGTAGCAGCAGCATCCCTGTTAGAAACTGTGATAGTGGTTCATAGCACCTGTTCTAATGCCAGGCGGTACTGACCTCAGGGACCTTAGGTGGGGGTCGTTTTGTCTTTCCTTCAGGGACCTTCTCCTTCAGAAGTACTGTCTGAAGATCCAGCACCCCTATCAAAGTATTTGGCTTGTAATTCAAAGGTTGCTGTGACTCCCAAGACTTCAGTTCAAGAGTATGGTGGGCTGGATTTAAGTGGTAGCAGCTGCACAAATCAACCAAGAGATCCATCACAGCTTTACTGCAAAGAAAAAAAAAAGGGACATTCACTATTATTAAGAGGGGAAAAACTGAGTTGCTAGAATGTTACTGAAGTTTCATATGATAGAAGCAGCAGCCTAGGCTGTGGATTTGTCTCAAGCTTCGGAAAGCTACTGAAAAACAACAGATAACAGATATAAATATTAAGAATTGCATATTTTCCTAGGCAGTGCTTGTGTTTGAGTTACTGATTAACTACTCGCTGTCAGACAACAGAAGTAATAGTAGTACCTCGAGCAGCAGCCAAGGGTGGGTGAAGGGCAGCTTGTTAGCTGAGTGTACCCATAAAGTTGTAGTTTGTGTACTCTCACCTTTACCTTGGACTCTGAGTGCAGAAGACTACATGTTCAGACATGCAATGCTCCATCCTGATCTGAGCAACCAGATCCTGCTGCTCCAACTGTAACAGTTTAATCTGAGACAAAAGCTTGATGAGTAACTATTTCAATCCCAGAAAAAAAATTAAAAATTCAAAAACATTTTCACTTTGCATCTTCCCCTCCAAACTTTATTTATATGTGTATAGGGTATAAATATACACATGCATACACAGTACTTCAAAACAAAAGAGAAAAAGCAAGGGAAGAGAGAGAGAGAAAGGAAAACAGAAACACCTCCACACACTAGAACAGCCTAGTACTCAGGTTATGCACCTGGGATATTACAGACCTAAATTTAAGTCTACCTTACCATACGCTCACATCCCAAAGTAAACGTGGGTTTAAAAGTCTGTCTCCATCTCTTTCTCACTCAGTCTCTTGAGTAGAACCTGTTCCTCTGTCTAAATATTTCACTGGGCCAATGAAAAAACTCCATATCTCAAAGTTTATGGTCCTCCTTTGGGATTCGGGAGAACAGAAGAGCAGAAGGTTTCCCTTGTGTCTTCCACACTCCAGGTGTGTGTCCAAGCCACCAAGCTATGAGCTATTCTGGATTGGATGTTATTCTCTCCATCTTTTTCTCTCTATCCCCAGAAATTCCATTGTATTCCTGACAAGGTTCTTGTGGTCAATCTGGTATCTTTTATTTGAATAACTCAAATAGTTGGAAAAATTCTTCTTTGCAAGCTTTCAGGTACAAATACCCTTTGTCAGGCTGAGGAAGCATCTGCAGTTGGTGTGTGCACTCTTCCTGGATGGAATGAATAGTAACGAAGCCAGAGGCTGGTATGCATGCAAGAAGGCCAGTCCTGAGAAACGTTTTCTGACAAATGTTTTGTTGAAACTGACACGTTCATGGAAATGTTTCACTTTTAACAACTTTACCATCTTCCAACAACAACAGAAAAACAGTTTTGTCAAAAAAATCCTGTCCAGCTCTATCTGGCACCTGTAATTTTCACAGAAGAGTTTTTGTTTGTTTGTTCTTTTACAGTGGAGGAAAAAAAAGAAAAATTGTATAGACACTGCAAGGCAAAGGCATATTACTAGCGAGTAGTCTTGTAACAGCACTATTAATTTACACATTCTTCATGAAGTGGGAATGTAAAGAAGGAGTTACTAGGATGCTTCCAAGAACCCTGCAGGAGCTCCAAAATGTCCACAAGACAAAATCCTTTCCCCACTGAGGCAAAAGATGTGAGGAACTCAAGGTTCAAGTCAGTGGCTTTGTGTTCGGCTAGGTTTGGTTGAAAAATTATTTAAGATAGAATTTTAAATATTTGAAAACACGGGGCACTGCATAAGTAACAGTTCATACAAAATGCTATTCTATAAATCCACTGCACAAGGGAGTCCAGATAAAATCGAAGTGTTCTGTTCCCCAAAATGTTCAACAAGCATCAATAGTTTGTATGCAAGCTCCCTTGATGGAGTAGCAGGTCTTGTATTACCCTCCCCACCCCGGTGTTTCTCTGTTAGATATGATTACTGATTTCAAATCCCCCAAGTTGACACTTGGGAATCCCCCAAGTTGACATCTGGGAATGCACTGGACTCCTCAGAGCTTAAAGGTCTCTAACAGAAGGTCCTCAGGATGCTTCTTGGCTTCTTTGTTGGAGGAGCTGGTTCTTTGTATCTCTTTAGTCCTCAAACACATGCACATGTATGTATGCTGCACTATACATACGTGCATATGTATATAATGCATCACACTGCGCAGTAGTGGACAAGATAGGTGAGGTCTGGTCATCCATCAATATGGATACAGATCCCAGTTTGCCTATCTGTTTAAAGACAGAGTTAAAGAGACCTCTTTTCAAATAAAAACCATAGGCTGTGTGTAGACGCAATGAGGGGCATGTATGCACGACATTATAAAGTGGGTTAAATGCTTTTGCACTTCTTTAATGGTGTCGGTGTTTGCACACCTCGGCCGCATATTGCACATCAATTACAGCCACTGGAGCAAATTTAGCAGTGTAATGCGCCTTAAATGACTTTGGGTTTTAGTTTGATGCCCTAACAGCCGCGGAGCTCAGGGGCTCTGCAGGAAGCCCTGCAGGCAGCCTGGCAGCAGCCCGGGAAGGCAAGCTCTGCCCAAGAGAGGAAAAAAAAAAGTGTGAAGCCCAATTTTTTTTTTTTTCCCCAGGAGCCTGCCTGCCTGCCTGAGCTGTGTGGGGGCCTGGTGCTTCCCTCCATGACTGCGGTGACCCCTGGGACTGCCCAAGCTGGGTGCCTGCGGGCAGGTGCCTCCTAGTGGTGGGGTGCCACTGCTGCGGAGGGAAGCACCAGCCTCCCCCCTCTCCCTGGAGCCCAGGGACTGCTGTACCCGCCGGCCCGGGGCCGGCGTTCCCCGCCGGCAGCTTGCCCTCCCCGCTCCGCCACCGGAGAGGCAGGTAAGTCGGGCATGTGCACGACACGGGGGTTTAATTAGCCCTAAATTGAAGCGGTGTTTTTAAAAGCCCACCACTTCAATTTAGGGCCCCCATTTCATCTACACACACCCATATATGTTAAGTTATTTTCTATGCATTCTTGCAATTGTTTCAGAGGAGAAAAAAATCTGATAGAACCTCAGTCCTTGATATGTTCTTATAATTTATATACCAATCTTCGTTACTTGAAATAGAATGACAACATATTTCTGTAATGTGTAATATCAGATAGTTCATTTAAATTTGGCTTATGACTCGTGGGTTATTTTATAAAAAACATTTTACAGTAAAGCATTTTTTGCAAGTGTTTCTTATAACTTATGCTGGTGCTGCACCTCTCTCTCTGAAACAGTGAACTACGTTCAACATTAGGTTTCTAGGAGCGCTCACAGTTCAACAAAATTGTAGACTCCATGTCAGTCATGTGAAAAAAGTAAATTATGGTCTTGAGATGAACTCTGCTCCAGCAGACAAAAAAGTATCTCAGTTATTTTCTCATTAACTGTTGGTTACATGGAAGGAAAGAACAAAACACAATACTTCAAATGAAATCTGCAATGACCAAGCCGATTTCACTCTGAATACTCCAGCCTACCATGGAAAATATCCCCAAGCTTCAACTATATCATTTTGAAGTTTTCAGATTAAAGGATAAAAGGAAACTACTAAAACAACTTAAAAGAACAGTTTTATCCCATTGTTGAAGTGAAACCTTGAAACATTTCCTTAAAACAGCTGCAGAATAAAAGCAAAACTGTAGAAAAACAAACAGTCCATCTTCCCAGGCAGTGTATTTCAGAAAGATAAGAGTTCAAGTTCCACAGACTGGAGGCCTTTTGTATTAAAGTTATGTTTTTCACAGGACTTCACCATAAACAGAATTTCAGTACCATTGGAAACAGACCTTGTAAATGACAGTGTTCTTCCACAGAAACAAAGGAGTAGCAACTTCCTTTTTTATTATAAGTAGGTTCCATATATATAGCTCACTCTTCTGAGTGGAGCCACCACCCACCAATCAAAATGATCACCATACTTACTCAAATATAAGATGAGTATTTTCCCCCAATCAACATGAGGAAAAAAGTCCCTAATCTTATATCCGCATACAAGGATACCTCACTAAATATATTGTCTATCATTAAACCACTGCCAAAAGCAGCTTACGCTCAGCCATGGAAACCAACGATGAAGTTGATTAAATGCAGCAAACACTCAGGATGACTATAAAATACATGGCCCATATGGGGCAAATATGCTGATGGGAACCTTCAATACCAGAGCTAGCTCTGACCCCTTCCCCTTAGTGCCAAAAATGCTACATTTGATATGCTGCTAGAAACCTACCACAGGAATAGACTAGTGCACCCCATCTGAATAAGACATATGGTAGTGCCCTTGTGCTCAGTTCCCCTCAACAATGACTCTTTTCCAAGTAATAGTGAGCCACTATATTGAATACATTTTGGCTTCCACTTCATTCCCATGCATGAACTGCATCTTTCTTTACCATTTCCAATGATTCCTGTTTTTTCACCAGCCTTACATGTTTGGCAAAAATCACTGAATGGGATCCAAAACAGCTTATCCAGAATTCCTCTGTTGCCTCCTCTGTCAGCCTGTCACATATGATAAGTGTTACCCTGGCCCCCATGAGACGCAGCTGGGCCAGGCTGACCTGTGCCTCCTTAACATATAAATGTTTGGAAGATCCCAGGACTCATGACAAGAACACCTGGTTCCAGTCATCGGTGCGGGGGAGGGATGCTAATTAGCACACATCATTTGTGGGGGGATATCTGGAGTACCCACACCTACTGAACAGTGCTGACCTTGGGGTGGGGGGAGGGGAGGGGTTACCACTGTAGGCTTGTAAGCTGCCTTGACTTAACTGATGCTATTTTTTGAATGGACACCATTAGCTGCAAGTGAAACTAGCATAGAAGCAATTTAAACAACTGTTGTAAGCAAAACAAAAAGTAGACAGCCACAGAATATAGAGAAACAAGATAGAATAGAGAAGCAAAACAAGCCCAAGGATGGCTCAGTAGGTGAGAAGTAAGTTAAAAAGAAACAGACTGAGGGTGACAGATTGATGAGAAAATAACTATTGTAAAAGGTAACTGGTAAGGATCTACAATATGACGATATATGGAATATACAAA